AAAAAATCGGCTTTATTTCGCCCGTGGCGAACACCTTTGGTAGGAATTCGTTTTGCTCGTTTGAATTTAGTAAATCAGACGCCGGTTACTTGTGCTCTTCCTATGCTTTTCCTTAGCCCGGCTAGATATGTCCCTCTTCTCTCCCCGGGTGTCCACGTGTGTATCAGTAACACTCCTCTCTTCTCTCTCCGAGACGTGGGACGATCCTCTGTTGGACTCTATATAAACCAGCGGGAACTCGCAGGCTGGCCCGAGTAGTTCGCCAACGGCGAACAGTTGGTACGGATCTTTCTCTCTGATCGTTCGTCGCTGATCGTGCGTGCGCGTGCGTGTGTCACGCAGAGGTATCTTCGACGTTGCTTCACGAATTTTCCGGATGACCAAGATCGCGTTCGACTAATTTTTCAGTATTAAGTAGTAGAGGTAGAACATCGCAAATTGTTGTAAGCTGTGAAAAAGCATGACCAACAGTGAGTCACTTCACGCCTTCACAGATTGAGACGTAGTCGGCATTGTCTGCCATGTTGCTTGCATCGAGTGCACGCATTTTTTTCTGGAGTATCAGTTGCGCCTCTGGCAATTCATATCTACTAATAGACGAGTCTAAAGTTGCGTGGAAATTAAAGCGTTTTGGGTAGCTTTCTATATATACAGACCGAAATAGTTGAATATTTATCGCGTTTAATTAAAAAAAAATTAAACTTAACGCAATTTCTATCGAAGTTTCGACACGCGTCTTGGTCGTTCGCGAGAATTTCGATCGTGGATTCGTTACTACCTACGCAATACTTTTTCAAGGACTGGTTTCCCGGAAAGTGCTGGAAATTTTGCAAGGATGGAGTCTATCACGAAGGCGGGGCGAAGTGTGGGCAGTGGTGTATATCGGGTGGCAGGTGCTTTCGCTCGAGGAGCCAGAAGAGTTTTGTCTTACGTTCCACTTTTGGGCGTCGCTGCGGTCCCAACGGAAGTCGAGGAGGCCGAACCTTCCGCGGTACGACACGGAAAGCGTTTGCGTTTCTTCGCGTATCTATTCAACCCTCGTCGAGTTTTGATTTTGTCGTATAAAGAGAAAGAAATGGCAATAGCCAGCAGGAACTAGCCCATCGAACATTTCCTTCGATCTCGGGCTACTTCCGGTTGCGCGATACCGAAACAGAACGAGTGCGTTTCCGGTGCAGATTAACCGTTCCCAGATGGCTTCGTTCGCAGGGATTAATGGTTGTCGTATCCGTTCGAAGTCCGTGGTTAATTTCGCATTGTTCGTCGGGTTATCGGCCGAAGAGAGGAACGAGTGGCGGAGGACTCGTTTCACCTGAATACTTAATATTTTATTTATGTCTGCCGCGTCGCGTCGCGCCGCGGTAGGCTCTCGTTGGTCGATACTCTTTTTACGTAATAGTCCATTGTTCAATGCGTTGGAACATGCAGCGGAAAGAAAGGTAAATCGACACCGATAAACGGTGTGGCGGCGACGTCGCGCCGGGCTGTCGGTGCGCGCTATGCAAAAATAGTCATCCGCGAGAGAGGCTCGAGTCGAACGCGGTGAAAGCTTGCAAAATGTTTTCTCGGCTCACGAAGCTCAAGAAGAACGCCCAACGTCGACCAACGCCTCGAACGAAAATAGCGTGAAAAGATCATACTCGGCGAGACTTTCGTTTACCTCTCGCATTCCACGTGGGTGAACGCGTTTTAAGGTTTCGCGTATCGAATTATAGCCGTGCTCGAGCGAAATGAACGTGATACGCGCTGGATTAATCCACGCAGAACCGTTGGGCGAATAGATGAAAATTAATATTGGTCGAATTAGTCTGTGTTCGACGCGAAATTTAATCGCGTTGCCGGTGTGACACAAATTCAATTTACGACCGATCGCTGATCAAAGCCGGTCCCTGAATCGTTTTCGCGATTCATCATTCGTTAATAGCTAGTCAACTTTATCGAACTTTCGACCGAGCCGGAAAGTTGCGTTCATGAAAATTCGATCGCTCGGCCCGTTTCGTTCCATGGACGCCGGACGGGAATAGATCAGAAAGCCGCGCCATTTGGAAGCGTGACACACGCAAGACGTGTTTGCTAGAAGGCCGTTTACACGCTGCTTTAGGCTTTTCGTGACTTTCGTGCAAGATCGATATTTCTGTTATCAACGATCGTCCGTATCGTAGGTTTCTCTTAGCGTAAATCGTATCTCCCGCTCGATGTTTACGTTTCGCTCGAATACTTAAAAATCAGAAATTCTGGTTGTGACCTAGCGTAAGTACGCAAATTAGTAAGGCCTTGTCTTAATATTTAGCTCTTTCTTATCTTAATAATTAGGTCTTCGTGTGTAGCCTTGTTGATTTGCCTCGATGCGGATATTAAACGCATCTTTCCTCTCGGGTTCCGTTTACATGCCAAGACCGATATTACTGTCGGATACGCTCCGGTGAACCGGATAAATACTGCTGTCGTAATTCAATTCTAGGGAAGGTCGGTAAATAGCAAAAAAAAGGAAGAAAATAAAATAAAGGAAAAGAAAGAAGAGGAAAAAGACGGAGGAAAGAAACGCGTTTGCCTACTACGAGCGGACGAGAGAGAACGTTACACGATATACGCATTTAGCCCGGGACAATGAGTAATCAGCGATAGAGAAACGGCTGAGTGTTTCGCGAGAAAACGATGCATCACCAATCTTTTTAGGAACGCGTTGTTCATCCTTTAATGTCCGAGTCTTGCTGCTCGTGTTCATAACAGACCGTTTCCGCCGCGTTAACGACACGTTCCTCCGTTACATTTTCATTAATTTTTTCTTTTCGCACGCAAAAAGGAGTCAAACTGCTCGTGGAAAGGAAAAGCGTACATTCGTCGAATGGGAAGGAAGTAATTAGTCGTTATAGCGTAAACAGATACACGCTATAGCCGTGCGATATCGCGTTTACATCCATGTGCGCCGGGTTCATATCGTTCAGGAATGAAAAGCTGCATATCTGATCGCTATCGTCCCATAAATTTATGCACTCGACAGATCTCCGTAACGTGGACCAACCGACAGTTGTTGCACGAGGGTAGCACGTGTCCGTGCCACGCGTCACCCTAGGTAATATTTTTTGCGGAACAGGAAATTGATTCTAGTATAGGTTCTAATGTGACCCGCGTACCAGCTGTTATACAGCTGATATCGAGGTAGGATAATTCGCACGGATCAACGAGCACAATGTCTGGCGTACATACGTTTACGACTCGAAGTGTAGTAGAAGAGCGAGGCTTCTTAGTAGAAACTTGTAGTCGAAGCTTATCCTAATTTTTATCGTAACTCGATTACGACGAATATTAATTTCGTATGATATTAGGTTTACAAATTGCGATATTTTCGTCGATATTTGCCCCGCGATCGAGATATACGGGTTGCGTCATTTTCTGGAGAACTTGCTGGGTTTTCTTAGTTGAGATTTCATTGGGTACTCTTGGAGAGGATTCAAACAAAGTGTCGAAATCTGCAACCTTCGCGTAAATATATTTTTAGAGTAGGTAACGAGAACATTGTGCGTAGATTTTCCTTTACCTCCGTCTGCGTTCGCGGACTTTGATTGCTTGCTCTAACGCTCGTCTTTCGTTATAGAGTTATTGCGACTGTTTATAACCTACTCGCGATCAAAGTTGGTCGACAGCCAATGATGCACCGGCAGAGACACGCGAGTTTTGGTACCGTTTGCCCGATCGATTTCGCCGCGAGAAGAAACCGAAGGTAATCGGAAGTTTATTACCGCGGTGTCCCTTTCTACCGTTGACCCACAGGACGGACAATGGCCTGAAGAAAGATCTTGGCCAACGGCCAAACTTCTGCTTGTCCTTTTGTTACTTAGTTTCCCCTGAAGTTTAGCCAAATTTGTAACGCGAATTTGCGAGTGCTTTGACTTTTCGATTCGTCAGTCGTTCACCGCGAGGTCGAGAGACTCTGACAGGTAAACGTCCGTTTCTTCGTCTTTAGCTAGAGGCGAAATATTCCGAGATAGTACGGAAGAATGTAGAGAGCATCGTTTCACGTGGAAAATTTCTTTACTTGAAAAAATTGTGTACACAGTGCTGGCGAAACACGGGAATCGGAACCGTCTGAGAAAAAACACTCCGCTTTAGAAAGCCCTCGTGTAGAACCCTTCAGGGGCTGTAATTCTTTAAGCGAGAGGCTTACCCTTTACGAAAAAGCATGGGAGGAACGGCGAGAAGGGGTTTCACTTAACCAGCCGATCGATACGAGGTCTGCAGACGATAAAGCACGCGTTGCGTTCCGCACGTCCGGTTTCTGTTTCCCTCTTCGGTTTCAAGAATTGATTTCGTTCTACTCATATTTTTTCTATTTGAGTCAAGCCGCGAGGATGGCTGGAATCGAGGTCTACGTACTTCTTAGTTGAACGAATATCGAGGAACGAATAACACCTATTGGCCTCGAGTAACAGTGTCTTCTTTCTTTGGAATTCGGAGGACACGTTTTACGAGCGACAACTCGACTCGGATGCCAGATACGCGTTTTAGAAGCAACAGTGGAGCACGTTATTAATAAAATCAGAATCAATTACGTCTCGCTCGTAACGAGCGCTCGCTGACACAGTGACACGATTGGCTACCCCTGAAAGGATGACGTTCGTACCTCGGCACCCTATGGTTCGCTCATTTTTGTACCCCTGTGCGCGTCCCTTATGGGAACATCCACCCTTCTGTGAACTTCTCTTGTCTACGAGTCGCTAGGTTGTTCACCCTTCTTTCTATTCGAATTGCTTAGAGAGCATACCCCAGCCTCGAGAGCACGGGCGACAACTGTTAAGTTGGTCACCCTCCACGACGAATAAAAAAGAGAAAGAAAAAAAAATAATATCGCGCTTCGATGAACCGGCATTCTTTTTCCAACACAATATCGTATAGCCTGCCGTGAAGATTGCGTTGATCAACGCGCTTGAAATTGTTCACTTTTCACTCGATGTATCGTTTTCTTTTTTTTTATATAAACGATTTCTACGAAAATGTTGCAGGGTGGTGAAGAAGCGGAAAGTGGATCAGCCACGGCAGGTAGTCCGGTTGAAGAAAAATCAGCAGTAAGTAGTCCAACAGCGGAGAACGAAGCCGCCCCTGTAGCAGCGGCACCAGCACCGTCGACCGAGGCGAAGGAAGAAAGCCCAGCATCGGCCGCTAGTAGCCCTACCGAGGAAAAGACAGAGGAACCCACTCCCTCTGCCCCAACTCTTGTCCCTGTCGAGGAAAAGAAAGAGGAGGTCGAAAAAGTGGAGGCCGAGAAAAAAGTAGTCGAGGTCAGTCCAGCCGGTGGTCAGTTCATAGCGGACCCGGTAGAAGTCTCCGTATTCCGAGTCCAGACAGTCGCTACGCCGTCTATCATTGAGAGGAAAACCAGTGAGGATATTCCTTCCTTGCCTCCGTCCAGTCCACCACCAACCCCCATAGATACGTCGCCTTTGCAGCAGGCTCAGCAGGCCGCGGCGACCGCGACCGCGCTAGCGGAGGCCCTTAAGCTGCCTGCCGAGGCTGCTGACAAGGATATAATTACACCACCAGCCTTATCTTCCCTCTGCCCAGAACGTAACGACCCGTCAACACCAGCCGCGGAATCTCTCGATGCGACTCCCCAGATGCGACCGCCCATTTCTTCTGTCGACGAACCCCCAACAAAATCGACTCTTATCCCTGAGAGCGTAGAAGCTCTGCCGCTGATAGATACAGACGCGCCTAATCCTCCGGACGATGTTACCAAGAATTTAGAGTCGCTTAGCGCCGGTGACGCCAATAAGACTACCGAGGTCGACCCTCTCCCGTCTCTCGAGAGTGATGCAAAAAGTCTTCATAGCGTTCCAGTTAACGAACTGAAACAACCATCATCTGAGAGCGATGTCAACCAAAAATGTGTAAGGGAGACAACTCCTCTTACCGAGGGGAGCGACGTTGAAAAGTCTTGCGAGCTTAAAGTCGATGAAAATGTCGCGAATCCTTCGCAAAAGATACAGGTCGAACAACCTTCGCAGTTATCGGATAGAGTTAGCAATCTCGACGGCGGCGAGTTGATCGAAAACGAAACGTCGCAAGTAGTTCTAGAGAACGTAGTGAAGGAGGAGTTCGTTGCACGCGAGAAAGAAAAGGTACCGGAATCGGTTAATATAAAGGAACGTGTCGAAGAACCAGTCGAAGAGATTATCGAGCCGAACGAAGTTGTTCAAGAAGATATCGAGCGAGTGGAAGAAGCCGCCGTTATCGATCCACCAGTTTTGACCGTTGATGCGATCGTGGAATCCGAAGAAGGTCCCGTTCCGATTTCCGAAGAAATCCTAGTAGAGGCAAAGCCAGCGGTTGTCATTCCGGAGGACGAGGATGTGACGGAAACGCCCGTCGAAGAAGTAGCGAATAATTCGAAGGTAGATGTCGAGTCGGTCCAAGTTATTCCGGAAGCGGACGACAAATTGGAAACGGAAACGGAACCCAACGTTGCCGTACCTACGGAAGAAATTCTCATTTCCGAAGTACCGGAAGAATCGAAAGATCCATTTGTTTCTAACGAAACGGTGATCGATCCTGTTCCGCCTATTACCGATTCCACGATCGAGAACGTTATCGACAAAGTGATAGACACACCCGAGATGATTAGGAACGAGGAGGAATCGATGCCTATGCCGCCTCCACCTTTGTCAGAATCACTCGTGCCTAGTCCTCAGGAAAAATTTGATTTAGAAACCGTAAACGTGGCGGACAATTCGAACACAGTGCCTTCCCCCGTTGTTCACACAGAGTCTCAGATTTTAGACGTAGAACACGCACAAGAAGTGGACGGATCTCCTCTTTCACTGCCGGAACAGACGAACGAATGTTCTAGCGCGGATATTCCCGTTCCCCAGGCAGATGACGCGTCGTTGAAAACGTCAGACAGTCTGCCGCCCTGTCCTGTTAGCGAGAAAACCACGTATCTCGCGAACGAAACTCAAGCGAATCTCTCTTCGTCCAGGCTGGAAGACGTTCCTGGTCTCACGGACGATTTTCCCACAGCCCTTGAGGATACGACCCAACAGTTAGATTCCTTCAAATATCCCTTACCGCCGGAAGAGCTCTCTTGTCCGCTCAATGTGTCCGAAACGAATAGCGAGCTTCCAATTCCCGACGAGAACGCGTCCAGTTTAAGAAACCCGACAGAGACACTACCGATACCGCCTAGAAGCCCCAGTCCTTTGTCCAATGTCAGTATCACGTCTGGCCTAACAACATCCACAAAAGACTCCTCACAAACACTGTTGTACGACGACCAGAGCAATCGAGAGTTCAAGATGGAATCGGTGTCGATAAGCCTCAATTCGTACAATGAGTCCGACATTGAATTAAAGGAGAGGTTAGCAGAGTCTCTGGCGGAGACTGAGAAGCAGGAAGAGAGCTCGGTTTCGTGTCAGTTGTCAAACAACGCCACGTCGTCGACTACTATCCAGGAGATCCATCAGGTGACTAACATGTAACACAACCTCCTGGCATGAATTCAGGCAGCCAAATACCTTTGGTGGCGCCTCGTTCCAAGTATCTCGTCGTACGGTCCGCACAAACCAATCGTCTCTGTGAATATAGTCTGAAAATATCGACTTTCTCCCGTTTTCCCCATGTTCCCGATGCTCTGTCCAGTGCTCTGTCGCCCGACACATATCGCGTTTTGTACCTTCGTTCAAACCTCCACACATCGAATCCCAGATAATCGACCATCATCCTCGGTATCTCAATTTCTCACCTTCGCTTTACGACGTTCTCTCGACGAAGGGTAATCGAATGAGACCGAGACTGGCACATCGACGTCTGTGGGTTTTTGCACGAATTTCATCTAAACGATCGACAGAATCCTTGTCTCGGCGTATCTCCATGCACGATATGGAATAGAAAATCTAAACAGAATCGATTGTGTCGCAAAACACATTCTTCCCTCATGGTATATGTCCTTTCTCTCTCTCTCTCTCTTTTTCTCTTTTTTCTTTCTTTTTCTCTCTTTCTCTCTCTCACTTTCTTTTTTCTTCTGTCTCTGGTCCTTAACACACGATCCAGCGTTTTTTTTTTAAAAGAAAGGGTCTCGTCGAATGCATCCTTCGTTCTGTCGAACGTGATTAACAACACGTCTACTCTGTTGCTGACAACTCCTATGACGCTTCCACCACCAACCATTACCAGAACAACCGTTACTGCCATCACCTGTGTTGTTTGCCTCTTGGTTTTCTTGACAATATTAACACGACTTGTTATTCGAATCGAGGCGCTAAAGTAGAGCATTTGTAGCTCGACACATAGATAAACGAGCAAGAAACATTCGCTGCACTAGTCGAGTCCAGTTTCCGTAGAAAATTTCTTTTTCGTCGGAACGCTGTCACTAATATAACATAGCCGCTCGACTTAGACGAATTTCTAGCGTGAATCTCATTGATAGACGTAAACATTAAACTAATTGTATACACGTAAATAGCTGAGGTTTTTAGAACTTAATTATGGCATAGAACTTATTTATTAGACATCGATACTATCATATGCTCTTTCCGTAATTGCATCTGTTTTGTCGTTAGCATCTTGTATTGCGCATGCAGAGTTTTCTTATTCGAGGGTTTATCAGCAGGGTTTCCAATTCTTTGCGCTGTTCGAAAAGCATGAGGAGCGATTCTGTCCCGCCACATGGTGGTCGTCCTTATGGTAGTCATGTCGAGTATCTATTTACTTGTCTATGGGAAAATAATCCTTATTGTTCGTTTCTCAAGTGGCTCGACAGAATCGACCTTTACGTCTTTTATCCTCGTAGCATGTTGGGATTTGGACTTGTTGCGGACGTCCAACTTCTCCGATCGAATCCTTTAACAAGGAGATATATACATTACAGAGCACTCCCGAACCCGAGGCCCCAGTAGAAAATAACGTGGCTCATGACAGTACGACAGAAAGTTCAGCCGACGCTATCAAGGTTACACCAGCCGTCCCAAGCGAGGTACCCGCCTCTCCACCATCTGCCCCAGCCATTACCGAGGATGTCGCATCGGTAGCTAAGGTAATATCGTGTCAACCCGATTTTGTACTCTATACGCTCCTATCTTTAGTAAACGTTGTAAATACGCAATATATGATGATCGCCAACAGATCGTTCGCGCGGGTTAGCGCGAACGATTCCGAGACCATTAACGCAGTTTAATGTCCAAAGAAGAATAAAGTGCGAGGGGCCATCTGATTAGCATATTAATATAGTTTAATTCTTTACTTGTAAGATATCGACGTAGTTCGACGATGCAATTATTAATAGTTATCTCATTTTCTTTTTTCTTTTTTTTTTGTTAAAGGCTATCGAAGAGATGGACATAAGCGATAAGGCTGTTGCGGCAGCAACCATCGAGTGTAATACGAACGTAAGTAGAGTATACAAGTTCTTTTTGTCGACAAATGCTTGTATGCACATTCTTATCGAACGTGTAATTTATTTGCTGTTTACAGGAAATTATCGCGGAAGCACATTACCAAAACAACATAAACGAATAAACACCACTAACCGAATTGTATTTTGGGAAGAAGAAAGTTCTTTTCTCTCGTTAAAACCAAAAAAGTATATTATATAGATATGTATATTTGGACCATTCCTGCAACTAAACAGAAAATAACGTTCTTTCGTTACGAGCAACAAAAAAATGGATGTGACCGCGACATCGCGAGAACATATAGACTTTATAGTAGGCCTATTAATAATTATTAGATGGCATTTGACGGCAGGGCGAAAGAGAAAGTTCACGAAACGTGAACGGTTGTATCATCCAAGAGAACGGGGTTACGAGGATGAGCCAGATAAAAAAAAAGAAAAAGAAAGAAAAAAAATGATTCCGAAAATGTGTAGTGCCGTTCGCGGATGGTATATCGATGCAGATAATTCTTACTGTTCTTTTTCGACACGAATGAAATATTTTCAACCGTGGGCCGTGCTTATTTGTAACATCGTAACAAGTGGCCCTGCTGTGTAAAAAATTTAGAACCTGTCATTGTTGCTATACATAAATCGTATTATGTGACCATCGCGCGGCGGACAAGCGATAAAAACGAACATTCGAATTAAAACAAAATAAATAATGGTAATAAAAACTTCGTTTGTCGCGTATTCCAAAAAAATACTCATCGAGGCGCGACCCCTCGTAACTACATATGTATTGCTATATCGAGAGAGTATAAAGAACAAGAAAGCTGTAATAAAAAAAAAGAAAAAAAAAAGAAAAAACAAGGGAAGATCAGAGACTGACAGAACAAGGTGTGCGTGTGTGTTCGAATGTGTGAGAGAGCGTGAGAGCTAGAAAGAAGAAAATGAGAGAGTGAATATCGAGTGTCAAGGAAAGAAACAAGGAAAATAGGAAAGAATAATTTGGGATATGTCTCTTCGCCAGAGTGTGAACAGAAAAGGAAGAGAGATAGGATGGACGAAAGCAGAGCGAGAAGAAAAAAGTTATTAAAAGATATGTCAAAGCGCACGAGTAATGAAACACTCGCATCGCGATTTTAAGGACAGTCGATTATTTTGCTCGTATTTCTTTCGCGGTCCTTGTTTTTCTTTATAATTGTACAATCGAGAAGTTTTATGTTGTAACGAGGAACTGCACACTTCTACGTATGACTTTGGTACGCGCGAGCACTCGATACAATTACACACATGTAAGGACATTACACGCCAATGCGTACATACGTATAATTCAACACACGAGATAAGGAAAACATACAGTACGTCGAGACAGTGTAAGTGATATATAATCTAGACATAGAGAAAGCGTTTGTGTAAATTCGGCGTTTGTCCTTCGGAATGCTACTTCTCCATACGAGAATACTTACGAGGAAGCCTATTCGTAATTTTATAATAATCACTAAAATATCGCCTAATTACAATTACGAAACATGCACAATTACCATTCAAAACGGATTCGTTTCTACGGATCTTCAGGAGTAAATAATTACCTATGACAGCTTTTTTTATTAAGACCGTAGCGTAGATCGTAAAGTTAAACGAAAAGCGCATATATGTAAATGCTCCAAAATCTCAGAATACATGTAAGTGTTAATGGAGCGAGCGTTCATTGTGCCCGCGACCGGCATTGATTTTTAAACGATATATAATGAGTAAGGAGAAAGAGGTAAAATTAAAAGTTGTATAGTAAACCTTTCATTAAATATATTGTCCGTAATGATCTTTACAACGAAATTTTTTCGAGGCAAGTTTTGGCGACGAGAGCGAACTTTTTATTTAAAAAAGGAAAAAAATAAAAAAAAAAATCCTTGAACCCGACTGATCTGTGCACTCGAATTATCAATCGTTAACGCTGAGGCACCATCGACGCAAGCCTCCTCGTTTATTTATTTTGCGCGTCGAAACTACAAAATTGTAAATGAGATTTTTGAGTCGATAGTGCCTCGGACACAGACCAACAGTCTTCAGTATCTTCGATGAGCAGTTATAATAGTAATTAAACTATTCTACATTTATCTATAACCTATAATAAACTGTGGAACAAGTGTAAAACCACGTGTACTTATTTGATCTTGGAAATTTACTGCGATTATACATTGAGTATAACAAATCCTTTTATTATTGATTAATTTGTTTACATCTGAGTTATTGCACTATATTTTCCATGGTATTTATAAACGTGTCCAATTCATCTTTGCTTAATTCCAAATCTAGAATACGCTTTGAGTCCTTACTTTCAAGAATGAGGTCTAACTGAAGAAGGGGCTCTCTCAAAGAAGCTAATTTGCTAGACCCCATTACAAGCTGTAAGAATAATGCAATTAATAGCAATATACCTTGAACAATTTTTTTTTATTAATTTACCTTTAATCTCCAGTCAAAGTCAATTACTGTGTCGTGCTTTTCTTTAGAGTATTCCATCAACAACGCATCTGTTAATTGTTGTCTTCTCACTTTCAAACATGATAATATATTTTGTTGAATTTGCTCAGGTAATTCGTGGTACTCTTGTGGCATCTAAAGGGAATTATATTTGCTAATATGAAAGTTTTATTTGTTTCATGAGAATATTAAACATACCTTTTCTTCTGTTAAATATAACGAAGCTGGATTTCTCAGGAGCATAGATATTAATTTATATGTTTCTTCGTATTCTTCTTTACTCCAATCCATGCTATTTACGAACTTATGATAGGTTGGACCTGGTCTGCCACATATTTCATCCACGCAAGCGTGCAACAACTAAATTATACGGATTAATTTTTCAACAAATAAATAATTTCTTACTCCGTTGATCATTGTAGTACTTACTTCCTTCAAAACGTGAATTTTGTCCTCACCAAAGAGGTTAAGGTACAACGTTTGAGCAGTCTCCATAATTTGCAAGTTTCGTAGAACTTTCTGTGTATTTCGAATTATAAATAACAAAATTTAGTAAATTTTGGCACGTTTGTTTGTGCATTTATTTTACATGACAATAGTCGTACATTGCAGTTTCATTTACATTACACATGACAGATAAACTTAAACATCATTCACAAAAATAGTTACAAAAAAATTTATCGTATATAAATGAGAAATTTCATATTTCATTCATATATTATTAAAGATGATACTTCTAATATTTCACGGTCCGAAACGTACGAAAACTCATTGACAACTGACAAATTCGTTTTATCGCCACCTGTGACTGGCAACGATTATTTTAAGCGAAAAGTATATATATATGTCTATATGTATGTAGAAAGGAATAGTGGTATTGTAATAAGTCTAAGATTTATTAACATAAAAAATGAAATGTAAAATGAATAATAATACGTATAACAATTTCTTACAACATATGTATATGTTTAGAATATTAATGCCATATCTCGGGAGAAAAACTGTATTTACTAACGTGACTACTAGATGGCGATAGTATAACCTTTAGAAGCTTGTCGCGCCATTTTTTATATAAAATATAATTCGACTGTTCCGCGCAAGCGGGTGTATATTTGAAACGTTATTAAAGTGTTCCTAGTAATTAAGATGAATATAGTGCCATCGAATATCGATCCGGATAAGATGAAACTCCACGAAATTTGCTTAAAGTTAAATTGAAATTTTATTGAAATGATACTCATGAATTTCTTTATACAACTGTACTGCTTAATTTCTTGCCTACGTCTATATATGTATATTGCCTAGAAGTGGTAGCGAGTACAATAGTAAGCTGAATGTCGAATGACGTTCTGTACATATTCGCGATTATTAACGATAGAATATTCGACACAAAAAGATCGAAAAAGACGGTCTTGATTCATCGTGTACATTCGACCACAGATCAAGCGTAAAAGATTAAATAGTCAATAGCGCAACTGAATGCCATCTGTATGAATACGTTTTCGTCATATTTCAGATTCGTATTCAGATCGTAGTTCATAATGGACGCGCATAAAAGTTTCAGGAGTGAAATTGAGTGCAAGTGAAATGGTAATCTACACCCGATTGTACATGATGTTTCCGTGGCCACGTAAATGCTAGATCGGCTATGAAATCGATTTCACGATCAAGTCGGCTACTACGTACGTACATATTATAATAATGCATATAAAAGCGTACAAAACACGTTTAGGGGGTGCGATACGAAATGTTCACAGCTCGAATAACACATCGAGTCAATCGTACTTTGTTCCTTTTCTTCTCGTATACTTCGAAGGTCCGTCTTTTGTATAGGTTAACGATGATCCTGCGGTGGATCCATCGAGAAAATATTCGTTGTATGCTCGTACCATTCGTTTCTTGTTGCTGTCGTGTCGACTTGCTCTTTTATAAAATACATATAGACATAATGGAACAAGGATGCCACGTTATGGCACGAATTCTAAATGTCCTCGGCGGGAACATAAGAACAACGAGTACATTGACGGACTCATGTTAGGTCTCTGCGCAGTTACTTCTCGCGTTCACCGTTTCTTCGCTTTGGTATACAACCATCGATATTCTCTACATAGCCGATCGACTGTCTGTTAGTCTATCGCTTAGTCTAATGAACTTTCAAAGAGAATCGTCTGGTACAGAATAGGGACAGGATCTCGGACTAGGCTCGTGGTCCTATGACAATTAAGTCTTTTGTCACCAATCGTAAAACTGGCGCTGCTAGCGCTATTGGCTACAAGGAGCAATCGCGTCTCTCTCTCTCTTTCTCTCTCTCTCTCTCTTTCTCTCTCTCTCTCTCTCTCTCTCTCATCAGATCTACTAAATTTCAGCCACAGCTGAACAAATCGGTTATTTGAAATTTACAAAATCAAAGTATTCGTGCCCCTCGATCTTTGAACAGTGTCTGGATCAAGATTCGAGTATAACGAACTATATTGTAAACCGATTACACAAGAAGCTTTTCTATTTTTACTAATATCCAAACTTTGCTGTTCGAGAAGAATCAAAGGGCGATTAATATCGGATCGTATATGATACGAATAATCACGGTCGACTATAGTAGCGCTTCCTTATGTGTCTAATCACTGTACGCAATCACCGATTCGAACTTTTCTCCATTTGTAACGATAGAAAAAAAGGACAAAATATAGTGACAAGGTTGACGGCGAAAATAGCAGGGTACATTTATATATAACTGCTTGGAGGGCTACATATGTATACATATATCGAGTCTTACGCAAAGGTACTCGGAAAAGATGGCACCGTTCGTTTCATGTACGTCGCGCGCGTTCCACGCACTTTTGACTTGTTCGTTTTTCTTCTTCCTCCTCGGTTTCTTCTTCATTAACACTTGCTCTCTTTTCTCTCCTGCTTCTCTAGCTTCTGTATCGGTGGTTAAAGTTCGTGTGATAATTGGCAATCGCATCGAATTTGTCTTGTTTCCGAGGACACTTGCCTCGTCGCCCCATGTATTCACCAAACTCGCAGATTGGCATCGCGCACTCCTCATTTTGAATGCATCTGTAATTCGACGTAATGAACTCGTATACTCTCGTTATTACGAGGAAAGTAGCTGAAAAACGTTACTCACAATCTATCGCGAAGAGAGAAGAATCCTTTTCCTCGCTTGATCTTGATGCAGTTCTGGTCAGTTTCGAAGCAGGTGCACTGGCAGACGCCTTCGGGCGTCATCCTCGGTGTGAATTCCGAAGGACACCGGCACCTAATCAATGGGAAATTACAAATCAGTCGTTGGTGGAGCCAATAACAGCCGATATCGAAATAGCGAAGGGTGGAGAAAAGCATATGAACTGGTATGAAAGCGATCGATGTAGGTATATGTACATAGATGTAAGAAGGAACTCACGGTTTTCTCGGCTGTGCCCTTCTCATGTTCTGAGGTTGCGGGGACGACTGATGATGCCTGTAGACTCTCTGTTCGGAGGGTTTCTCGTTGCTCGTGTCGTATTCGGTTCTCTCTCGGCACTCGCATTCCGTGTGGTTGTAGAACGATAGCTTTTCCACTACGCTGCTGCCGCCCACGTTCGTCGTCTGCAAGAAAAATCAGGAACGGATCGTTATTATTCCGCGTTCTCCAATAACACGACAATAGCGCGATTCGAAAAGAAAATCTCGGCTCGCTTGGAAAAGCAACGCGAGGGCGGCTGGTATCGCTTCGCTTTTAATTGAGTTTAATTAACCTTAGTCGGTTGGTTGGCTGATTGGTCTAAAGTGGAACCGTTCGCTGGCCAATGGTTAAATCAACGGAAAGGGGTTATCCGTATCGCGGGGCCACACGTAGCAACTCTTCCAATCGACACTAATTACCCTCGGTTACTATTTTTACGAGCAACGATATCCAGCCTCGTGCCTCGAACGATTCCACGGAACCGGGACACAAATTCGAACGAAATACATAATACATGTGGAAAGAGCCTTTTGAAATCGGGACCGTGGAAAAGCTAGTGTTTCGTTCGGTGTTAATTGCCGACCACCGGGCGATGCGGCCGGAATTTGCCAGTAGCTGATAAGTCTACTCTCGCATTTTAATCGTCCGCCTAGCGTTCTTCATCCTGGTATCGGGAACGTTGGATAGAAAGCTCGTAAATCGCGGAGGAAACGAAACAGTTGGTTTTCCATGAGAATACAGATTAGAGTGCCTGCGTTTCAGAACGCACCTGGCTCGAAAGGAACGTAACGTGACCGCGTCACGAGTCGAGTTTTAATCGAGCGTGTTTATAATTGCTGGCAAGGATCGCGGATCGAGGACCGATCGCTCGTACGCGTAATTGATCGTGTTAAGTGGGTCGTAGGATCGTGGCCGGGATCGATGACAATAGGCTAGCGGAACAAAATGCCGCGATCCCGTGTCCAAGGGTACCGGCGATCGGTCTCGATCTGCCGAGGTTTTATCGATGGGATTCCGCGGGTAGGCGCGGTGATCACGACGTTGCTTCAACGTCAATCAGTGCAACGTCGTGGGGATCAAAGGTCGAGAGAGAAGCATCGACAGACTGAGCCGTAATACCGATCGCTTATGCAATCGCTAATTGCGGGGAAGTTCAGAATCGCTCGTGACATCTTGTTGCTTAAGTCTCGTTCAGCCTCTTTCGTTCGTTCCGTGTGTCTCTATTACGCGTTACGTGGGCAAAGAAATATCACCGACACGATTGCTAACGAGAATGAAACGCATTTTATAATCGAACGCGTAAACCACTGAGATTTAACGACCAGAGAGGCGAATAAATACTTGAGACTCTGATCGAGGATATATGAAAGTCAACAGGTTGCTAATACGGTGGAACGAGAAGGTTCGCTTTATCGAATGTTAATATTATTCGCGGCTGGTGTACTTGGAAAGCAATCGCGGGATCTAGAATGAAGGAGCTCGAGGAACTGAACCGATTGTCTTTGATAGAACGTATAAACGGGCGAACGTAATGGTAACGCGGGACGTTTCCATGGGATGAATAATAAAGAAACGCACGTACGGAGGACAAATTGCTTCGGTCGGTTCCTTTCCCGTTGACAAAACGCGAAGATCTTGCCGGGGTCTCTGTAATACGAACTGTGCTCGTAGGCTGTCTTCCTTCCTCTCCGACGTACTCTGTCAAGACGCTACGCCAGGATTGAGATTCGCGATCGTCTCTGACGAATAGCCTGGCCGAGAAATCGTGGTCATAAATTTTGCGCTACAGTGGCGTACCTAGCCTCTTATCCTATCTTGCAGGGTTCGAATTCGAATAACGCCGAAACACGATCTATCGATAGAATTTCGGTTTTAGAGATTTCCGAATACCTGGTGCCCGGTTCTTTTGTCGAAATTCGACGAAATCGTGCTGGGCGCATTCTTCTCCTACTAAACTCGCGCAGGGCAAAAATTTCGTAAGGTCACAATGGGTCGACGCCATTGTCATGCCGTTTTATCTTCTGGGCAGCGGCCATGGTGGCCTCCGTAGCGCTTTCTCGCGGCGCATACATCCGTTTCGAATTTTTATATATTTTTTGCATGATTCTCTGACGAAAAATCGAGCGTGAATAATGCACTTCCGGCCGTGGCCCAGTGGGTCGGCCGCCTTCGCAAAGGGAGCCGAACAATGTCCCATGGGGTGAGACGGGACACCGAACGTGCACGCCCATACAACGTATAAAGTCAACTCGAATCTGTCCCCGATGGCAATCGAGTTCGTGTTCGACCTTTTGCTTCGCGCGACCCTTTTGCTCGTGAACGTATGCACGTCTCCATTACGAATTTTCCCTTTCGAACGGCCCGATTCGA